TTTGCCAGTTCAGGGCACTGAATTGTTCTGGTTAGTGTGTTTCCTGACAACACCCTGCATCATCTTATTCCAGCACATCTCTTCCTGTTTTTCTTATTTACTGTTCAGTTGTTTACATAGCTCAATGTTTGTGGTTTTATAGCCTTTTCTCTTCAACAAAAACTGTGCCCAGGCTGTTAGCTATATAGGAGATAGAAGAAGCCAGGGAAATCTAAATTTCATTTGTCCTTCTGCTTGCCAGTTCCTGTGCTGACTGAAATTGTGGAGAGATTTATTCTGCTTCTTCCTTTCCATGTTTTTTGGGTTGGTAACTACATATCAAACAAGAGGATTGCCATTTGTAACATGTATGTGTTCCACTAGACTTAGAGAATGGTCAAATCTAAATCTCTTTGAACTTCAGGTGGGAAGCTGGATATGAACTCCTACATTTTAACTCATTCCTTTATTTTGGATTCTGCATCAGGTCTAGAACTAAAACTTAGGTTCTTTCCAATTTGGGTTCAAATTCTGCTGAAATTTTGTGAGAAATGGTTCTCACAAAATTTTGGACCATAATGGTGAAAACTTCGTGAGAATAGCACATCTTGCAAGATTTCCCACACTTTGAACTAAATTTCCATAACAACTCGCAGAATTACAATCCCATTACATTAGAGCCTCAGACTCTACCCCAAATCAGCCTTTAACCCAAATCCTGGTCTCTCACCTAAACTTAATGTGAACTCAACCGCCACCTTGCTAACCCATCCCTAATTTATACTGAAAAAATGCACCCATTGGTCCATGTCCTACAATTTTTTTGTAGGAGCTCTAGGAACTTGAGTGCCGTATCAGTCAAAGCCACAGCTTTTATCACATAACTAACACAGTAATACAGTTTATGTATATCAAATAGGTTAAAAGCATTTGGCAACCATCCCTTCAAGCGGTCGTGCTGCAGAAGGGCAAAGAGAGGGTAAAGAGAAGGTATTGCTGAATGGCGCTTCAGTGACCCACACTGATGATCAAGGAATGACACGCTGATACTGTCATGTGTGTATTGATATTATTCAGCTTGTGATAAGGTTGAATTCCAGTATAGCAATATCTTAACAGAGATACCAGGTCAAGATGCAACACTGTGATTACTGTGTTGCTCTCAGCTCTTAAAAGTATCACTTACTAAATCAACTTCGCCTCTGGCCTAATCAAACTGAGAAATGCTAATTTCCTCCCACTAAAAAAAAAGGCAAGGAAATAGTATTACAGAGGCTCTGCATGGTTCTCACCATTGTTCTTACTCTTCCTGGGCCTGGAGACTTGCAGATAGCATTAAGTGATGTGGCTTTCTAATCATGTAGCTACCCATTATTCTAGTCTCACATTTAGGGCTTAGAAACCAGACTCTCTATACTTCTCTCTGGTCCCTTATCTCTCCTTCAGATAGCATTATTCTGGGTTTCTGATCCACAAAGGTACCCCTTCTGAATGGAGGAGTAGCCATGAATAAGAATTTAACTCTCCCTGGAGCAGAATCAAATTCTAGTGGGGAAAATCCAATACAAATAATGCAGATTGCCTCAGGGAAAATGTCAGACTGAGATCTCTGTCCACCGCACATAACTCTACAGAGCAGAATAACTTCCGTGGCATTGATGAGTCAACAAAACGGACTGTGCCAGTTTGGCTCCATTCTTTCTTTCTGTGCTTATTGGCCACAACCGGCTGATAGATGTGTTCTCAGCTCCCTCCTGCTTCTGAGCAAAAGGGATGATTTGGCCCTATGTCTCTAAAGGAGAATAGTTGCTAGCAAGGAAAAGGAAAGATATTTCATCTACTGTCTATCTTTTGTGAACAATAGTCTGCCATAGCAATGCTATGAGATATAATACACATACACATTGGCAGCAACTGAGATTTATAGGGACTTGAAAAACTGACCGAAAAAGGAACATTGTGCCTAAACTGAAGGGGTAATAGCCTTCCTACCCCTCAAACGGAAACTGCCTCTGCATATGTTTAATTGTGTCACTCACAAATACCTTTGTATGCACCAATGCTATAATTTCAAAAGCTTCAGAGAGGTAGCCGAGTTAATCTGTAACAGGAAAAACTTAAAAACCAACAAATAGTCTAGTAGCACCTTAAAGACTAACAAAACATGTGGATGGTATCATGAGCTTTCATGGGCACAGCCCGCTTCTTCAGATGACAACTGAAGAAGCGGGCTGTGCCCACAAAAGCTCATGATACCATCCACATGTTTTGTTAGTCTTTAAGGTGCTATAATTTTCTAAGGCACCTCTGTTTTGGCTCAGAGCCATAGTAGAACTCTGGTACTAATACACAAAGATACACAAAGATCATGTTGATATTAAAAAGAAAAATTCCCATCAGTTCACAAAGGCATAGAAAAAGTTCAAGTGACTTTTGGCACTTTTACTGTCTGTTACTTAACCCTGCTGTATAACAGGTGTAACTGATGCAGAGGGGATAAAAATGGGTCTGCTTGTGAAAGCCTTAACTTTACTATGGCTTCCATCTGCACTAATGATGGTAGCACCATTAGCAGTGGACAAAAAGTAACTTCCTTCTTGAAAGGAAATCAAGTTACCAGAAAGCCAATGGAACTGATTTGGAATCCTATTTTGTCTGTCTACAATCTAAGTGATACAGTTCTGGCAGTGGGAGGATTGGAGATGTACACTATCCACAGGACATGGTCAATTTGTCCGGTATCTAAAAGTGTTCTTTATTCAGAGTTATGTGCTGCAGCTAGCTACTTTTGACTCCTTAATTCTCCCCAACCTGAATGCAGTGTACACTAACAATATTCAAGCAAGGCTCACTTGCTGGTGCACTGCTTAAAAGGGAACTGGAAGGAGGAAGTGGTTCTGTTTCCTTTTTTGTTTCATAATGAATTTTAAAGGAGACCTGAAAGGTATAATTTAGTTGTTGCTTTCTGAACCTTAAAATACCCGGAAAATTGAATGTATTCTTTCCTGTTTTTGCCAGGAAACTACTTAGATGACTCAGAGATGTGGGTTGAGAGCTTTCTTTGCTCTTAATTGAAGGAATGAGCTTGGCAGAGGTGATGTGTAACTGTTGATGGTGGGGGGGATATGTATTTTGAACGCAGTTCCCACAAAAGCTATATATTATATAAATATTATCCCTGACAGAAATTGAAGGGCTTCACATGACCCTGCATGCCCTCCCCCACACATCACCTTGGAGAAGGTGAATCCTTATTAAGGGAAGGATTTTTTCCCCAAGTAGTTAAGTGAAAAAAATATTAATCAGTTTTCACTTCCTTGATTTTTCCTGATGTGCTATATCATCTGTTCCTCAATATTTTATAGTATTCCAGGAAAATAAGATACATAAAACCTGAATTTCTAATGTGAAAAAAATGCAGAAACTTTTTTTTTGTAAAAAGGATGTCTGTTTTTAAATCTGTCCTGTTCTCTGTGCCAAAGGATAAGTGGACACAAATCAGACGTCAAGAAAGGTAATGTACGAAAGCCAATAGAACACTTTAACCTCCCTGAACACTCTGTAAGAGATTTAAAAGTAACCATCCTTTTACTTTAAAAAATCAAACAAAACACAACTTCAGAAGCAGACTACAAAGAGAAACAGCAGAGCTGCAATTCGTAGCAAATTTAACATGATCAAATTAGAATTGAATACAGACTTAGAATGTTTCTCTCACTATAAAGGCAATTTTTCTTCTCTTGGTATTCTCACCTCCCCATCAACTGTTGGGAGTGAGCTACATCCACCCTAATTGAATTGGTCTTGTGAACACTGGTCCTACACTTGATGGCTACGTCTAGACTGCATCCCTTTTTCGTAAAAGGGATGTAAATTAAACATATCGCAATTGCTAATGAAGCGGGGATTTAAATCTCCACCGCTTCATTAGCATAAAAATGGCTGCCGCTTTTTAATGGAGCTTTGCCGGAAAAAAGCGCCAGTCTAGACACTGATCTTGCAGAAAATAAAGCCTTTTCCAAAAGATCCCTTATCCCTTATTTCATAGATGGATAAGGGATCTTTCGGAAAAGGCTTTATTTTCCACAAGATCAGCATCTAGACTGGTGCTTTCTTCTGGTAAAGCTCCATGCCGAAAAAAAGCGGCAGCCATTTTTATTCTAATGAAGCGGGGGAGATTTAAATCCCCACTTCATTAGCAATTGCAATACGTCTAATTTACATCCATTTTACGAAAAAGGGATGTAGTCTAGACGTAGCCGATAAGTAACTCCCTACTTTTGATATGCTAGTACAGTGTTTTTGTCTTTTTTTTTTTTTGTCTGACAACATTTTTTTTAAAGAACATTTTCATAGGTGTTCCACATTAAAAATAATATAGTTTGGTGTTCCGTGGTCTCAAAAAGTTTAAGAAATACTGTGGTATTATGTATTTCTCCCAACTTCTGTGATTTCTCCATGCATTTTGTTTTTACCCATGAAAGCTTATGACCAAATAAATCTGTTTAAGGCAGAGGTGGGGAACATAAGGCTGGCTCCCAGCTTGCCTGCATCTGGCCCTCGAGGCTCAGGGCTTCCTCCCCTAGCATTGGGGAGCCTGCGCTGGCACTTCAACCCACCACAAGGCTGGAGCGCACAAAATCTACTAGCCTGGACCTCCCTAGTCTCTGGTGTGAGTGGGGAATGTGGGGAGTATCTTTCTCCTTCTCTGTCAGGGTACACGTCAATGAGGGCTTGTGGGTTTTTTTTCTTCTCACTTGAGTGTGGCCTGTGACTGATTTGTCTGTGGGTCAACGGCCCCCACCCAAAAATAGTTCCCCATCCCTGTTTAAAGGTGCCACATGGACTCATTGGTTTTGCTGATACAGACTAACACGTAACCCTCTGAGACATGTTTGCTACTGATATTTTCAGATACATTTTTGTGACTTGATGTAATTAACATTAGGAAACTTGTACTTTATTCTAGTGTGTTTCATTATTACTGTTATTTAATGATCCTATATGTTTGATTGTCATAGGCTGGAACTAATGGTTATATGGCTCCTGAAATCCTGAAGGAAGAGAATTACTCCTACCCTGTGGATTGGTTTGCTATGGGATGTAGTATTTATGAGATGGTTGCTGGTCGAACTCCATTCAAGGATTTCAAAGAAAAAGTCAATAAGGATGAAGTGAAAAAAAGAACCTTGGAAGATGAAGTGAAATTTGAACATGCCAACTTCACAGAGGAGACAAAAGATATTTGCAAGCTGTTCTTGGCTAAGAAAGCAGAGGACCGTTTAGGAAGCAGGTATGATTTGTTTCCCATTTTTAAGCCTAGATCAATGATGTAATCATTATTTCATATAAATGGTGGTCAAAACCTTAAGTTTCTATGAACACCTCAATCTTCCTTTCCACTTCTATGAGTGGAAGTGTTCTCACAGATATTTCTTAAGAGAGCATGGAAAAGGGGGAATGTTGCCTCTTGTGATGTCAATCTCCATTACCTGCCCAGTAGCCACTCTTTGGAGTTTTGTAGGGATTTTAGGGGGGGAGGAGCCCCCTCCATAGCAATCTTTTCCTCCTATACAATGATAGTGTAGCCCTAAGTTAATATAATATATGGAGATATACCATCTCATAGAGCTAGAAGGGACCTTGAGAGGTCATCAAGTCCAGTCCTCTGCCCTCACAGCAGGACCAAGTACCATCCCTGACAAATTTACCCCAGATCCCTAAATGGCCCCCTCAAAAGCTCACAACCCTGGGTTTAGGGGGCCAACACTCAAACCACTGAGCTATCCCTCCCCTTAATGCTACTTGAGTTCAGAATGGTGGCTTTATGTTAATATGACTCTTGTAGGCACGGTGCTGGCAGGGTTCTAGAGCAGCAGCAGGAAAGGACAGCCCCCCGATGAACCCAGAAGTTTTCTTTCCTCCAGGTATCAGGATTATAAGGCTGAGTCATGTGTTTCATACAACAGGTATCCTAACCTTCTCATTGGCAGGCCAATTAAATGGATACTCACAGATCTTTCTGGGCCTCTTCTCTTCATCCCAAGGGTACTGTAAGGGAGAGTACACTTGGAGCTAAGTTCTTATTAGTCAAAAATTCCCTTTGCAGCATTAATGGGAGTTTTGCCTTTGAAAGGATGGCTGAATTTGGCCCTGAGTCAGCAATTCTAAAGATTCTTTGAATAATAAGATCATTTGAAGGCTAAACATTATAGTATTTAATTCTTCTAATACCTTTGTAGTGGTACATGATGAAACATTTAATACCACTATTGTTGAGACAGAATAAATACAAGACAATCCATATGACATTAAACTGTTATATAAAGTAAACTGAGGATAGCTAGAGTTAGAATATATAGTAAATTTCATCAGACATTATTGTAAATGTATCTACCAATTCAAATAGTTAGGTTTTCCAATATAATGTGATTCAGAATTTACCAAAAAGTAGATGAACAGACTCATTTAAGACAGTCATTCCACACTTTATGTGTATACTGCGCAATAATACAGGTAAAATCTTCTGTTGAGATCACTGGGAGTCTTTTCTGTATAAAGATTTCATATTTTGCCTTAAACTTTTATTACAGCACTGTAATATGCTGGATATGGTGAGCACCACAGTTTATAGAACTAGGAAATATAGTCTCTAACTATCTCTTGTTTAGGAATAAAATATAACAAGTATAGTTCTGTTTGTGATACATACGTGGCAATTAGAATAAATTAGTGGATATTTTGTAAAAGTCAATGTTTGCCAAAAGTCCAGATTCAGTGTTAATCAAAATGACACGTTGTGACACTGATGATGCTTGCAATGAATATAAAACTCCTGTTTTCAATGGAAGGGCTTACATGAAGATGTAAGTAATATTATTATTTTTAATAATATTAATTTGTTATACTGAGTTTAGAAATAACTTAGGTATATTTGAAAAGACATTGAAGAATAATATAGAAGGTTATATAACTTTTATATGTTTTTTGTGTTTTATATTTAATATACAAGTGAGGACCATATGATTTTTTCAAACATTTTGCAGGGATATGTGTGTCATTTTGTCACATGAATCTTCTCTCCAGCAGGGTTAGTGAAGATCGTCCAAAATATGTTTCTTTGCATGCCAATATGATATAGTCCTGGTTTGATCAATCATATGCTGTACTTCTGTTGGGATTTCAAATGTGATCAGAGGCTGTGATTTCCCATTATTTGTTGTTATAAGGAAACTGAAAATTCTAACATTGAATGAAAACTGTAGATTCTGTTCAGCAACAAATTATCTTGCAATATAGTACAGATCACAGAAATTGCCTGGTTTAGCACAGTAATACAGGTTGGACCTCCCTGGTCTGGCACCCTCCGGACCTAATCAGTGCCAAATGAGGAACTTTGCCAGACCAGGGATGGTCATTTCTGGACACCCTGCTACCAGCCCCTCCACCCCTGGTCTGACCACTGCCCTCCCAGCTGGCTCCACCTCTTGCTGGCCCTGCTGCCTTGTCAGCCCCTGCTGTCCTACCGGGCAATCCCACCACCTCCACACACGCCAGGCTCCTGCTGTCATGTCAAGCTCCTGCTGCTGCGCTGGACACCCCTACTGCCTTCATGCATCAGGCTCTCAGTGCCACACTGGGTAGCCCCACTGCCTCTGCGCGCCAGGTTTCTTCTGCAGAGCCTGGCTCCTGCTGCTCTTCCAGGCAGCCCTGCAGCCTCTGCGCCAGGCTCCCACTGCTGCACGTGGTATCCTGCAGCCCTGCCAGGAAGCCCCGCTGCCAGGTGTGAGACTCCTGCTGTCCTGCCAGCTTGCAGGGCTTCCAGGCACTAGCCCTCCTCTGGGACTCTCTGGGAACATCCGTGGTTTGGGTGTTGCTGAACCAGAGAGTCCTGGCTAAGAGAGTTTCATCGGAAATCTCAGTTCGCTTTTCATACATTTAGTCTCACAACGCCCCCTGAAATAAGCTTTACCACCCTCATTTAAAAGCTTACATAGAATCATAGCAGGAACAGCCCTCATAGGCTGCAAGGCCAGGGCCAAACCCCCATCTGGCCCAGATCCAACCCCGTCTCTTCCCGCCCCATCCACTCCTTCCTCCAAGCTCCTTCGCCCAAGTGACACAGTCCAGAAGATCAGTGGAGGCCTGGCACCTGCAGCAAAGGTGGGCCCTCCCCCTTCATTCACTGGCAGTAGTGGGATACGGAGTAACTTGGCCCCAGGCTACTCCACTCTGCCAGTTCCCAGCCACATTGTTCCGCTCCCTGCTGGTGAGTATAGGGAGCAGTTTCACCTCTTCCCTCAAGGCCCCTTCCCCAAGAAACGTGGCTGAGAGCCAGAGGAGCAGGCTGGGGCTGAGTTACTTCGCTACTCACTTCTGCCAGTGAGTGCAGGGACGGGCCCAATCCCTGCTGCTGGCACCAGTCCCCTGCCAACTTCCTGGGCCCTGTGGGACCCTCCCCCCAAAGCATGAAGCCCAGACAGTTACCCCAAACCGTCCAGTGGACAGGACAGCTCTGCCTGAAAGGAACTTTGAGAGGTTATCAAGTCCACTACCCTCCATTCATGGTAGGACCAAGCACCGTCTAGTTGGGCAAACTGAGGATTAGAGAGTGCAGGTAGGTTGTTCAGGATCATACAGCAACTCTGTGGAAGAGCTCAGAATAGACTGTTCTGCTAATGGAACCACAATCTTGGTCATGTGCTTTCGCCACAAAACCATCCATCCGCCTACTTAATGGCATATTAGCCTTTAGTGGTAGGTGGGAGAAGCATCTCAAGACATTTATTTGTGCTGAGGTTTTTCATTTTATCACTTTGATTTTTCCAAAATATGCTGCATCTACTTTCTTTCCTGTTTGATGCCACTTCATGTGTCTGTGGGATTGGTAAAAGGCCACTTGCCCCCACCAAAACCTCTTCAAGCCCAACTAGCAGAACTACACATGGAGTGATGTGTCCTATGTTTTATGACACCTGGGAATAGGAAAGGGGAGTAGTTATTCAAAGAAAGGAGCATAGAGCACAGTCTACAACTATAATCTGTTGTGGCACCTTGAGGTCTTGAGGGAGGAACACAATAGAATCCATTAACATTGTGTCCCATTTTTTCTTGCCTTCTCTTCAATACACAGTTGAATGAGAAATGGACAAGCAGTAGTCTAGCCTTACTGTACGTGATGTTAAAAAAAAACCCTGTCTCTGCCTGTTACACTGGAGATATTATTCAAGAACAGCTCATCCTTATGTAAAGATTAGCCTTGTAATTCTGCTAAGGTCAGTCAGACCTTGGGTTATCTATATAAGTGCCTGTTGCATAAGTTAAAGCTGCTCAAGGACAGCTTTATTTTGCACACCCAACCTTTCGAAAATGTTCTAATTTCTCAGTTCAAGATTCAGTATTGTTGGCTTTTTCTGGAAAGATTAACACCTTTCTCTCCATTCTCTGACCATTTTGGAACTTGCTCACCCCTCTCTCCTGCTGTCCCATGCAGTAGTGAAAGAGCTTATTGATGAATGCCAACTTGAGAGACAAAAGGAAAAAATATGTAGCACTTTAAAGACTAACAAGATCGTTTATTATGTGATGAGCGTTCGTGCGCCAGACCCACTTCCTCAGATCATATTCTGAAAGAGAATTGGCATGACCGTATATAACAAAGGAATACAATAATCACCTAAGAAACTATCTTGTTAGTCTTTAAAGTGCTACATATTTTTTCCTTTTCTTTTACCAAGATAAGACTAACACTGCTACCTCTCTATTACTATTCAACTTGAGAGAAGTTTGACAAGGTCATTTCCCTTTTTCTGTCACAGTTATGCAAACATCAGATTCACCCAGGAAGGGTCATGATTAGATAGAAGCATCACCCTATGAGTAGATGCCTTTACATGGCATTCCTATAGCTTCACATATTTAAAATATTTTTTATTCCTGATTGTATCAGACAAAAATATATAACGTCAAGAGGGGGAACACTGCAGTAGTCCATTGTGGAGCTAACACCAAGTTCTGATGTTTTTAATTACATGTTATAGAAAAGCAAAATAAAATTAAGTCTGCATGAATATGCTGTGTGAAATCACTCAGTAGCCCTTAAGGATGACTGACTGAGCTGCCTAACTCTCAAATCTGTGAGTTTCTATTATTTGAACTGCAGCTCCAATGCACTTCAGCAATTGACTTCAGATTCCACAGCTGCACCAGTGTTTCATGTGACTAACTGAGCTAGGTAGGTTTTGCAAGGCCCTTTGCAAAAATGACATAAGCCTTATGGATCTCATCTGAGTTTTTATACTGTGCTCATTGCTGTAGTAATGGGAGACCGTGCAAAGGCCATTAAGGATGTTGTTCAAGCTGGAGGATCTGCTACATGTGCATTGTGCAGGCTCTTGGAAGAGCTGGGCTTTCTGGGGCTACACACAGGCCTAAGGCTGCATCCGGTCACTAAGTAATGTTGCTTTTCATTAGTGAAGATGATTGATTCTGACAGAAATATGCACTGTCTGTTTCTTTTAATCCAGTTGTAAGGAGTCATGTCCATAGAATGTCCTTTTCTCAGTATTATCCAGTATGTGTGAAAGTGGCCTTTGTTTAGTATATGACTTTTATTTAAAAAAGTGTGAACAACTGCAACCCATTAACAACATTTCTATTTACTGTGGCCAAGGAATAGCCAGATGGTTGAAACAAAAATACCGAATACCCCCCACTCAAAAACAAAACAAAACAACACTGGGAAAAATTCTGTTGAAGGGGGGAAAAGGGGGGGCAGACAAAAAAAAGTACTCAAAGACTTATTAAGCAAAAAAAAATTAAAATAAAACAGCATTAAAACAGCATGTCCCCTTTAAGAGTGAATGCAGGGATAGAAACTGGGGAGAGGTTGAGCACTAAGACCCAGGGGAAGTCCGTGGTTGGCTGCCATTTCGTGTAAGGTACGTTTAGGGGCTGGGGTCAGTGGGTTGGGGGTGTTGGGAGCCAGGAAGGGTTCAGAGGGATTAAAAGTTGAAAGACACAGAGGGGCAAGATGGTGGCCAGCCGCTGACAGCCTGTTAGGGCCAAAAAGCCTCAAAAACATTTCTTAAGGGGGCCACAGTTTTCTCAAAAACATTTCTTAAGGGGGCCACAGGTTTTTTTTAAATTTTTATTTATTTATTTATTTTTTGCTCAACAACTCTTGGGGTCTTTTTTTTTTTCCTCAACAACTTTGGTCTCCCCCTTTTTTTCTCAGCAGAATTTTCTCCCTGGTGGTTTTTTTTAGGGGGGGGGGCGAAGGAGGGGTGTTCGGTATTTTTGGTTAAACCAACTGGCAACCCTATAAGTCAGCTTTGGAGTTCTTTCTGTTTTGTATATATAGTTCACCCTTATTAGCTAGTTAGTGCATAGTTTTCACTGACAATCTCTTGTTTTATTGCAGGAGCAGTGTTGATGATCCAAGAAAACATGTTTTCTTCAAAACAATAAACTTCCACAGGTTGGAGGCAGGCCTCATAGACCCCCCTTTTGTGCCAGATCCATCAGTTGTGTATGCCAAAGATGTAGCAGACATTGCTGACTTCTCTGAAATCCGGGGGATTGAGTTTGATGACAAAGATAAGAAATTCTTCAAGAAATTTGCAACAGGTGCTGTCCCTATACCCTGGCAAGAAGAAATTATTGAAACAGGACTTTTTGAAGAACTGAATGATCCTAACAGAGTAGCTTCTGGGGGATGTGCAAACGGAGGTGAAGCCAAGTCAGGAGTTTGTTTATTGTTATAAATTTCACATAGTTAACAAAAAGGGGTGAAAAATGCACCACAGAACTTTCCAGATTCCAACAGTGTTTCAAAAACTCAGCTACACTGCTTAAGAAGTATTGTTTAACCTAGACATGAAATCACCAAGACAAGTAGGACCACAAATTAAATGGCTATCAACAGGACAAGTAGGACCACAAGTTGAATGAATATTTTACTACTTTGTTCTAGCAACACAGATAATCTGTTTGTTGGGTTGGAAGCTATCAAAATGAATTATCAGATTTATTTTAGGAAATATAAGAAGACAGCTGTCCATCACTGCGTGTATGTGAAATATGAAAGCAGTAGCAAGGTGAAGAGAAACCTGTTCTAAAAATTAATGAGTCTGTCATTGTAATATATTCTTTTCTTGATCTCTCAATCTCTCTCCTTTTTTTAATTCAAATGTTTCCCCTTTTCTACAGTTTTCAATAAAGGCTTTTAAATTATGAAGAAATACTCTTAGTAATTAGACAGTGAATTTGGACTTCATGCATCAAACAAACTTCAGAATCTTTTGACTATCTAGATTTCTCAGTTCACCTTAGCCACCGAATGGTTCCATAGTAATATGTCCAAATTCTCATTAATATAGAAAATTCAGTTAGCATAAGGACAAAAAGAATGTCAGATTTTCCTCTGTCTTGACTTAGACTGAGAGTAAACTAGTGAATTTGAGAAAACAAATTGACTTAATATTGTGTAAACTTAATCTTTTGAGTAGTTATACTACACCTTTTATGAAGAAATGGATATTTGATTGATAATGTACATTTTTTATTTTGCTACCAAGTTCATCATTCCATTGGGTTGTCCTGATATATGTGTCTATATTTGGTTTAAACTGTGGTTTAAATTAAACTGACATACCACTTTGTAACTGGCCTTTAAAAATAAGTTTCTAAATATAATAACAATGTTAATTCAATCCACCACAAAAAGAAAATACATTGCACTATTTTTAGAAGTGATATGGAAAATGATGTAAGTTGATATATTAGTCTAACTGTATAGTTTCACCAGTTGTTGGACAAAACTTTATATATTTCTATTTATTTTGAGTTAGAACACCCTGAAATTAATTCATTTGGGATGCAATTCTGCACAAATTCTACATCAGACAGGTAGTATGCTTACTACCAAGAGAAGTCCTCATGACTGTTCATATGTTAGTAATCACTATACTACATAGTAACTGCTAACAGGATTAGGTCTCTTTTGTCCCCCCAGTTTCTACTGATTTCAATGGAAGCTGATGGCGTTCAGCTCCATAGAGCATTGGAGCATTAGCACTCAGTCCTGCATTCCTTACAGGAGCAAGTTTTCTACTCAACTCAAAGGTTTCTAGAGGATTAGGCTTCTATATCTGATTTACAGAGGAATTGCTGAAGATACTCTGCATCTAATGCAGTAGTTTTTAAACTATGGATTGTGACCCAGTACTGAGTCCTGGAATGTCAGGCGCTGGGTCTTGTTGCAGGGTGATTGGTGGGAGTGCTAAGGCAGGCTTCCTGCCTACTCTGGCACTGCAGGCTGTCTTGTGTCCCAGAAGTGGCCAGCAGCAGGCCTGGCTCCTAGGTAAGAGGGGGGAAGAGTGCACAGGGCTCCATACTCTGCCCCTGCCCTGAGCACTAGCTCCATACTCCCATTAGCTGGGAGCCTGCTGCTGGCTGCTTCTGAGGTGCAACTTGTTCTGTGGTGCCAGGACAGGCAGGAAGCCACCGTAGCACCCCCAATGCACCGCTTACAGAGAGCCACTTGAAGTAAGGCTCTCCTGACCTAGCTCTAACCACCCCCCCAGCCAAAGCCTCCTCCTAAAACGCAAAGCTCTCATCCTCAGCCCCACCCCAGAGCCCACATTTTAGTCAAAATATCTTGGGTTGCAGGCCTCAACAATTTTCTTCAACTGAGTCATGAGAAAAAAAAGTTTGAAAATCATTGGTTTAATGAACAGTATGTGGGTTTAAATATCCTTAATAAACTATTAATATAATAGCTTTGCTCATTCCAAATATGTACCTGTGAAACCATACATTTCAGATACTTAAAAAATGATCTATAAGTACAGGTAAATACACACATTTGCTGTTGTATTTCCTAAGTTTTGTACAGACTGATTAAGTATAAAAGGAGTGGTTTCTTTTTCTTCTTTTAAAAATATTTCTCCAATTTTCTTTTTTCTTGTTCTTCATTTAATATGAAAGATTTTATTTCATTTGGATAATTCTGTTGATGAATGCTATTTGGGCACCAGAAATTGAATTCTGATATGGATCACATAACCTTTTTTAGAGATAAAACACAAACAACTACCATCATGGAGGACCCTGGCCAGTCTATCAAATTATTGTAACTTTGCTATTGGCCAAATTGTGATTTATTCTGTTCATATGGCAGCAAAGATGGTTTTGAAAGGGTATTGAAAGATGGATGAACCTGGAGATAAAAGATGATGTTGTGGTTCTAACTAGAGATGTTAAAATTAGATTAATCAACTAATCAAATAGTCGATGGAATGTCCATTGAATATTCAATTACCCAATAAGGGCCCTTCCGCTTTGAAAGGTGACAAGAGCCACCCGGCTGTTGCTATATTTCAAAGTGGAAGTGCCGCATGGAGCCTGGGGCCAGCAGGGGACTCAGTCCCCTTGGAGCCTGGGGCCAGCAGAGGACTCAGTCCCCAGGACCCAAGCTGGCTCCAGGCTCCATGCTGTGCTTCTGCTTTAAAATGTACAAGAGCCCCAGCAGGGACTCTTATACATTTCAAAGTTGGAACACCACCACTGCGCCTCTGCCCCTTCCCACGGAGCTGGATCTGGGAGAATCACACCCCCCCCCCCTCTTCCCCTCTCTGGCTGCCTCTTTCTGATAGAGGCAGCAAGAGGCAGAGGGAACTGACTAGTTGACTAGTGTGTCAACTGTCTGATAAGCTTTTGCTTATCTGATTGTTGATTAGTTGCTTACATCCCTAGTTCTAACACAGAATGAGGAGAGAAGGGGTCTGTGTTCTATTCCTGCCTCTTGTCACTGACGTCCAGTGGTTTTATTTCTCTGCTGTAATTTTCACCTCTGTAAAAATCCTACGTCTCAGGGGTGTTGTGAGGCTAAAATCATAATCTTTGTAAAGCACTTTGAGGTTCCCAAGTGGAAATTGCTAAAGAATTGTAAATCTTTATTGTAAATGAATACAAAAGCCTGTGTGGTTCAGAAGGGTAATGAATAGCAGAAAGCTTGTGCCCTGAGTAGGTGCCCTCTCCAGATCCATGGAAATTGCACTTCTGGGGTCCTTTGTCGCTAGAGCCACTGAGAGTCATTGAGGAGTAGGTTGTAAGAGTTCTGGCACAGACACAGTCTGACTCAGTTTTATAACCCTATTCCAAGCAGATTACTCCTGGTGTAGATTACCTCTGCTCCTGGCAGGATAATATGTAGCAAGAGCTGATCTTGGGAGTGGAAAGCAGCCAGAATTTGGGCTCACGTTAATACTACTTTTGTAGTATAAACATGTTCCCATTTGGAGTGAATTGAGGTATGTACGGAACCAGAATTTGACCCTATGGTAAAAGCACATTTCACCTACTATTACTCTGCAGAACACAGCACTTCAATAAATGGTATAGCAAAATCTATTGCAATACCTAAATGGAAGAGTTCAGAACAAAGTTTCTCTCATCACAGGCCCAGGTTTTAAAAAGATGTATTATGCCAATAAGCCTCAAAAGGGCGTGCATTAATCGTCTATCAATTCATGCCTTAGTGTACCATGTAAGCCACTCAAAGAAGTGAATCAATAGTCTACTGATGTACATCCTGGTATGGCCTTTTGCTGAGAGGTTACCACAGTAGTCTTACCATTCAATTTCTAAAATCCGTCAGTACGTGGATTTGCACAGCAGGTGTTTCCATTATGAAGAATAGAGAAAGAAAAGAAAAGCAATGCCTTTGCAAGCTTTTTCCTTTTCTCTGCTATTTTCAATATATACTTTGTAAAATGTACTTACACTTTTAAAAAAGGATTGAGTCAAATATTGGGGTTCCTCCTTCCTCCTCCTGCCATTGCCATTAACATTGATGTACTTTTAACAACCACTTGGTGGTAGATTAAAGACAACTTTTAACATCTTGCTTTGTGTTATAAAAGACAAGGCTCTAATACTGCAAAGACTTACGCATGTGATGAACAGTACCTGTTGAAGCCAGTGACACTGCTCACATGGATAAAGCTGCCCTACCCAAACTGCTGAATCAGGGCATAGTTTGAGAAATAGTTGGAGAAGAATTACCTACTATCTAAAGCTATGTCTACACTTGCAATTGATCAACAAAACATATATCGTGGCAGCCACAGTTGAAAGGAGGGAAAAGAGAGAGACTGCTTTTACACCTAATGCCTGTAACAGTCAGTATGTATAGGGATTATTTATTGGTAGTGATGAAGACCCAGTTGTGCACTATATGAAAGGTTGCATTAGCACAAAAGACCAACTTTATTGGTAGTGATGAAGACCCAGTTGAGCACTATACGAAAGGTTGCATTAGCATAAAGGCCCAAATGACCAATCAGAATCTGGCTTTGGAGAAGCAGTTCAACTTACTATTTTATGTGTCCATGGAATTTTCTTACTCTATATCAATAACATATTTGTGTCAGAATAGCCAGTCTTGTATAAAATCAAAAGTTACATAGTGAATCTAACTCTTTTTAGGATCATCTCTCCAACCTATATTCACAAACAAATTTCAACACAGGAGCAGGAAACAGTAAAATGGGATGGGGATGCGATTTCTCTTGGACTTCTAATTATGGCTAAAAGATGGTGTTTTGCAAAGCATGCAAAATTCTTAATAGTGATATTCAAAATAATGTAACTTTTACTATTTAAATATCCAAATAGATCTGATTTTCATATCCGGAGATAAAAGTGAGATGAATAACTGAACTCTTGTCATTTATTTGAAATACTGCCTCTGCTCCTCTTAAGCTAAGATTGTATCTTTACCTGCTATCATTACAGTTTCATAGCAAAATGTTTAAATGGCTGGAATCCATTGTTACAATAAAAGGTTATAAAATCTTATTTGTGATTGTGCAAAGTAGTCATTTGTTAATGGATGGGTGGTGAGATTAAGATTTAAGGGTATATCTACACTACAGCGCTAATTCGAACTAACTTAGTTCGAATTAGTTAATTCGAACTAACGCATCCAGACTAAAAAACTAGTTCGAATTAACGTTTTGCTAATTCGAACTAGCTTGCCCACATAGAGTGAACCCTGAACCGGGGTTAAGGATGGCCGGAAGCAGAGCCAGCAGGGCATCAGATGAGGACTTAGAGTGTGGAGCTGCTGCCTCAGGCTAGTCGAGGGCTGTGCTTAAAGGGACCTGACCCCAACCCCGGACAGACAGTTCTCAGGGGTGCCCCACTTGCAAAGCAGTCCTGGCTTGGATTGCCCGGACTACCCACACTGGGCACATCACAGCACTCGGCCATCAGACTGGCTGCACTTGCCGCAGGCTGCCATCTGGGGAGAGGAGGCAATCGGGGGGCTGCAGGAGAGCTTCCACCCCCAGAAGCCCGCAGAGCCAGCCCACTCCTCCCCA